AGACACTAGCAATAAAAGAAAATAAAAGAAAACAAAGCGAAACAAATCATTCACTCATTTCTGTTTTTCAATTCAGAATTCTAATTTTCGATCGATTTCCCAAGCAACGATCTTTGCTAAGATCAGCGATTCGATATGTAACCTGATAATGTTCATCATAAGGCGATTCGCTATGAAGCAAAACAGCACCACTTTTTACCTCTTCCTACTCACACACAAAAATATTCATAACTTCAAACAATTCTAAAGGTATTTCGACTAAAAATCATTCAGGCCGTTCTTATAATCACGAAGACTTCTTAGCGAAAGAAAAAGCTGAACAGAAACAAGTGAGAGTGTAAAGTCATGACGTGATCAACTGAAATGTGAAGAAAAATAGAACGGCAAACACTGCTGAACTCGTTTTCTGCCACTACACGAGCACCAATCGATGCCACACATGTGTTGGGGAGCACACATCACGCGAATGTTGAAAGTATTTACACAGGTACTTGTTAAAAAGTAACCAAATGACAAATGACAAGTATCCAAGGTCAACTGCATGATTCGATTCGACATATGGACTGAAAAACTTTTCGTTCTACAAGTTGTTTCATCTAGAGTTAAGCAAGTTATGATGTCAAACAAAGGTGAAAGGACCTCTCCTATCTAATTCGATTTTCTCCTCCTACTGTAATTACCCTATTCAGACCGTGCTCAAAAAGATGCTCCTGCTCCCTCTAGCCATGATTGGGTGATAGTGCCGAAGGTCACTTATAAACTGACAACCATAACTTTCATGAACTCTGATGAGTAAGGAGCTCTAGTACGCCAGTAAAGAAGGCTGAAGTGCACTAGACGAATGACCTTGGCTGATCCAGTTGTCTGTCTGCCCTTTCTCTCCTTCAGCACCGCCGTGGCCCTACCTCATATGAAAAGGGAATATTTCGTACTAAATATTGGAAATAGGACTACGCAGCAACAACCTCAAGACTGTTGGTGTTGTGGGTCGTTCGAGCATTTCTTTAAAAGGGAAATCATTTTTCTTCACACAATTAATCGCAATTTGAAATGATTGCGAATACGAATGATGAACTAAACTCACATGCTGGTGACCTAAAAATTAGGCTATGCTATGAGTTTGCTGAAGTACGAGGAGCTTTTACTACAAATTCTACTCTAAATTCTTTATTCAGAATTATCTCCCAAGTTCCCACTTTCATGAACTCTGCTCCATGTGGCCAATAAGAAAGTTGTTAGTTTGGGAAGATAATGAACGGAAAACTCAGTCAGCCGTTCAGGCGAAGGTAACATTGGAATCATTGTCGGCAGATAATTCTAGATGAAGAGAGGTCGGGAGGTGAATGACGAATATATATCGAGGAATTCTCGGCAGGTGAGTCTTATTTGCCTAGCTGGAGGAGGAATGGGCCCTAGTTTCGCTGTTCGGCGCATCAAACTTGAATAACTATGTTATGTCTTCAAATAGGTTTAGAGTGCCAATTGCTAGAGGACGAATCGTGCATTGTTCAGCGCTGCTCTGGACTGCGCCATGCCCCAAGCCACAGCCATCCACTGGAACAATTCAAGCTGTTACCGTAACCAACGCTTGAATAAAGTTGTATTTTCATCTGCTAGAGTGAGTTAATAAATTTTGAAAAAGAGCAACTCATGCATCATTTTATAGGTAAAAGAAACTACGATGAGAAAGTGCAACATAAAATTTTTCGTGAACTTGAATTTCTACGGCTGGATCGTGATCTCTTTGAAAAGAGAGAGGCAACTTAATTCGAAACCGTGCAGCGTTGGTTACGGTAGCAGCTTGAACTGCTCCAGTGGATGGCTGTGGCCTAGGGCATGGCGCAGTCCAGAGCAGCGCTGAACAATGCACGATTCGTCCTTTATAGCAGTTGGCACTCTAAACTTATTTGAAGACATAACATACTGATCACCTTTCGCACTGGCATGACCTTAATGTCGCCGTTCATTGATATGCAGAAGATCAGATGTCCTCCAAATCATGAGGAATTTTTTTCTGCTCAAAAAATCCTGCAAGGAGTATTTCCGCGAATAAAAAGATGCAAAATAAATGTGTATTTCCTTGAAAGCTTAGCTTCTCTAGCTCTGCAAAAAACCTCCAAAACCAAAAAAAAAATCATGAAACTCAGAAGGGCAACATCTCGCATTTCGCTCCAAACCTTATAAAAAATTCATGGTATTCGGAAGAAGCGTGGCTTTGCATCTGTTAACTCTCGCCACCCACAGCTTTGGTGTGGTTAGTAGATTCTAGCAGTAACTTGCAACATTGCAAAGAAAGATCAGAGTGGGAACTGTGAATGATCGCTCATAATTGGGTTCGCAAACCATATAACAATACTCCTTACAAAAGCGGCAAAAAGCTATCTGATGAGGGTTGTCGCTCTTCAAGAACATATTTCGGCTCTACAAAATACAATAAACAAATTTAACAATCAGTACAGTTTTTAGCGAGACAACCAGGTGTCTCCAAGCATGGGTGAGGAAGCGCCGAAGCAGTGCAGAAACTAAATCAACGCATGAGGCGACCCCAATTGGAGCTGCCAGAAACCCGTACCATTCAGAAGCTGAGAGATGAAAGGTCCTAACAGGACTAGCAGAGGACACCGTGCGTGGCGGTTTACTACACAGTGGATTTTCTTCTCATATTCATTCCAAAACCAACACAATTACTTTTCACGGCAAAAACTGCACCAATGTTAACTGGAACATGTTCGTTCAGTAATTGGGGGATTTGAGCATTTTTCTATTCTATTTTTTTATTTGGAGCGACTATGTGGACGCTAGTTTGTTTCACCTTCGAGTAGATAAACGTTTCGAATTCATTTGCCAGATATAGTTTTCTTTTACAGATGAGATCACTTTTCTCGTTCTCATCAAAATGAAAAAAGCTCATAACTACTTGAAAACGCAACAAATGACAAAGTTCGAGAATACGCACCATGTAGAGCAGTTTCCTAATCAAGATCGGTACACTAAAAAGTCACTGTAGAATTCAGTTCTGCATTCTTAACTTCTGGATGTTATGATTGGGAATCAGATTTTAGAAAAAAGAAAGAGGGAAAAGTCGGTCAATTCGAAAAGCACTCAGACCAGAGCTAATGCATTCAAAGATGGATGGTTGAAAACGATAAGATCGAATTAGAGCCGATGACAATCGGTCTTGACCTAGCTTGTCCTTTAACAGTTTTCACGATTTCTTACCCAGTTACAATTAAACAGTATCGAGAATACCTAAAACCCTGGAACCTTATGTTATCTTGCTCCTGTTTGTATCATCTTGAAATATCGGGATGACACTTTTGAAAATTTTAGAATTAAGATTTCTTTTCGAAAACGAAAAGTTAACACCCTTTGAAAAATTAGGTACAGCATGAATTTGGAAGCTGTCCAAATTGTTACCGTAGCATTGATCGTAAAATGATTGTTGAAATAGTTACAAGTCGCAAATGTGAAGTGTGCTGTTCGTCACGAAGGGCATCAGATGTTAAACTATTAGTCATAGCATGATGCACCGGTGGAAACTCATGAACACCCTGGATGTTAGTTTTTGGGTAAAGATTACAGTTATTCATTTTGACGGAGAAAATCCCCTCTAAGAAATCCATACAAAAGCNTGTCCAAATTGTTACCGTAGCATTGATCGTAAAATGATTGTTGAAATAGTTACACGTCACAGATGTGAAATATGCTGTTCGTCACGAAAGACGTCCGATGTTATTCTACGATTAGTCATAGCATGATGCACTGGTGGAAACTCATGAACACCCTGGATGTTAGTTTTTGGGTAAAGATTACAGTTATTCATTTTGACGGAGAAAATCCCCTCTAAGAAATCCATACAAAAGCCATGACGTTTATCGCTGAAAGCCTTTTGCGCTTACAACTGGAAGCAAAAAATTACTTCTCTTTCTTTTACAAACTCTCCATGGCACACCTAGCCGTACATCTCAGAAATCTTATCATAAAAGGCAAATGAATATTCGGGGGTTGATGAAAACAAGGGTAAGCAAACTGCACAAAGTGTAGGTTATAATGAGCATGGCGTTTCGACCGTTCGCATGAGTTAAAGGAAGGTTAACCAATTCAAAGAAGTAGGTGAAGTCATAAACTCTGAAGGTTAGAAGCATAAAAACCTCTGGCTCCATAGCAACAAACGAAGTCACTTTAAAAAATCTTACATCTCATGAAAAACAAAAACAGCTGACAAAGCGCTTAGCCTAGGTGAGAAGTGGCACAAAAACGATCAACAAAACCTATGTATGACCTACCTGGATAGAAAAATAGTAGTCCCAGGGTGATTATGGACCATCGAACAAGAGCAGCCATCAGTAATGAATGACAGTCAAGTGAGCAGGTACGTAGCGCAGAAGCCAGCAGATACGCACTTTCACGGATTGTCAGAGGAGGTGCTGATTTGCGTCGAGCTGAGCGCTATCAATCATCGGCATCGAGAAGCACCTGTTCTAGTCTAGCGACTGTCTTCTGCAGCAGTTTGGATTCAGCTGGGTAAGGTTGATACAGTCAGCTGTCGACACCAGGAATAGCTACTAACTCTACAGAGACGAAAATTCATTACGGGCACCCGGCTCTTACCGTAACCCCTTAGCTTGACCGTAACCGTGCCGTACTGAATTTCGTTTCCGTGTGTACTATATCACTCACTCACTTGCTGTTCCCTCTCCTTTACAGTAAGCTTTTCACTTTTCGAATGAATTCGGTAGGAGCGATGCGTTTCTTCAGGAAGGCAGGAATATTGGCAAGGATTTTGGTGGTCGAGAGTGGCATAGGCTCCATTATTGTTTGGAATTTGACACAAGTAGACATGGGAATGAGCATATTCACCCAAATCGGAATGGGCGCGGTGAAATACGTGGCGATTCAAAGGAGCTTACACTGGGGCCCAAATTTGAAGAAGAGTCGATTAGTAGGATTATCTGACCATACTAACCTATTGGAAGTAACATTTTAGGGTCAACTTAGTGTTAGTGAAAGTACCAATGATAACAGACCTGGGATCTTCTTTTTTAAACTTTAGAATATTGCAGGTGTATGATGAAATGCCGATCATATGAAGTATTCTGATGTTTTCTTCTGCTTTTTGTGAACATCTGACGTTTGCAGTTAATTTAATCGATAGGCATCGGAAGCGCAATAGATAGTGTTCCTCTTCTTTTCCTTCAGGACGAACCTGCGATCTCTAAGGATATCTCGTGGAACATTGTCGGGTCGAAAAATCACCTCGTCAGGGCGTAAGAAGGGTAAAAAACCTGGCTTGAGCGACCTATACACTCGAAAGTGGCTGTGTTGTGAAGGCCTTGTTAAGGCTGCACCACTCGCAATGAAGGCTTAAAGACACAGTTCACGATAATTTCGAAGTACCCGTTTTTGGTTTAAAAGCGGAAGTGTTGATGTAGTGGACTACATCGGTGGATAAGGAATCGAGAAAATCCGCCTACTACAAGCTTCTTAAAAGGAGGTTGTACGAATTCACTGCGGCAGGAATGGCATATAAGGCGTTTTTGGACGAGAATTAACTTGCTTACATCGGGTAAAGGGCTGGCTACATCGAACCAAAACTGTCTAGAATTACCTTTCACTGTCGCTATGAGTGATGACAAGTTGTTTGGACTTCCTACATTGGTTCCTTATGAACGTTGCAGCGTCTAAAGCCGTTAAAACTCGTCCTCTAGGGGTGTGGCATTCACACAATACAGTCTCTGGTTCCTCATTGTGCCCTATCTGGGACGTTTTCCGCCCTTATAACGACAGGTAATGTAAAAGGGAATGTTGAATTCATACTATAGGAGAATCTCAGAAATCATTTTAATCGTGAACCGTGCCTCAAGACGCCAATGAATAGTACCATTGTGTGGGCGAAACCCAGACGGTTACAGACACATAATATCGTATGACCTCTTCACTACATTTTATATTTTTGAAAATTTGCCTAGTTTCAGGCTCCCTGTTATTTTTGCATCATTTTGGACCATAAGTTCCATTATTTCACACATATGAGCCAAATAATCAAAATTATCGTGAACCTGCCTGACCATTTTTCTCTTTTTCCATGGTGGGTCAGGAGGCGCCAGTTGCCGAAACAAGGCTATTCCACGCGCAGGTGTCGTTCTTCTACAGTTCCGCGAAGCTAAGCCACTCAGCGGAGCCTTAAACTGAGCAGTTTCGGTGGTTGCTCAATTCGGTGTGCCGTCAATAATTGTCATGAAAGAAAATAACAGGTTTAATTTATTGCTCAACGTCAGTACTATCCGTTCCTGATCGATTTGATTTATATGCTTCACTACTGAACGGCCGAGCGCGGGAAATGTGCTGTTCCGATAACGCCCTTGCGCCCTCGGTTCATACTATTCCGTGCTCCGGGGG